AATAATTCTATCAGAGGAAAGATAGAGATCGTGGCAACTAAGCATACTTCAGCCAATTAATTTGACCTATGGACATAAATCGGTGATTTGTGATCAATTCTACTTGATATGTGACATGTGAATATTGATCTCTGACTTATAACAATTGCACAAAGACATGTGACATGTTATCAGGTCACATGTGACAAATCATTGTGCATAGATCATAAGTCATTGCATCAATGTTGCATATTATCTATTGTATTAGTCATAGATCAATCCAATTTATTAGTCACAAACCATGTTTACATAAGTCCAACTTAATAAAAAACCAGTACCAGAATCACCACCTACACCACTATTTCTAGGACTATCATCACCTCAAAATCTACCACAAGATCACCTCAAAATCATCATAAAACTAAGGTTGGATAAAACTCTTGAACCAAATTGGACCGAACTGAGCGATTCTTCTTAGGATAAATACTTGAACGAGTATTTGAATCGAGAATCAACGGGTTCGATTCAATTCGGTTCTTGATTTTAGATTAGGAATCGAGAAATAGAATAAGAATCGAATCCTCCTAATTTTTAAATTTAGTTATCTTAAATAAGTCAAATTATTTTACTTTTTCTAAATAAATTTGCTAACTAATTAATTTTGCCCAAACTCAAGTATATGATTTTCTTACTTCTAAATTTCAGTTCAAACTCAACTTAATCACAATGACCCAAATTTTACCCAAATCGATTATTCTACAGTAGTGTCACTTTTATTATTTTTTTTTTGAAAAAATCGAATTGAAACTTATTTTCACCTTTTTTCATTATTTTGAGCTTGCTATTTTCCTCTTTCTATGATTTTAATAATCAAATTTATGGAGAACTCAATAAGAACAGATGCAAAAGATATATAAAATTGGACTACGTTATTTTGTTAAAACTAAAATTGAACATGTCAATTAGTTGAATTAATATAACTTTGTAAATATTAAAAATTTTAATTATAGTATGGAACTTGGGCGCCGAACCAAACCTTCATCCATACTTCACCCACCATCACTACCGCAATTAGAACCCAAACCTTGATACCAACATTTCTCAAGGACTCAATTGCTTCTAGAACTCCTTGTTGCAATTTATCTTCAATTTTAGGCACACCTAATATGCTAAGAGTGTTTTCTATGTTTGTAAGCAACCTTACGAAGTAAAGCTGCCGACTTTGTCACGACAGTGCTTGCTGTTTCAAAAACAGAGTGTGACCAGAAAGGATGCAATCTGAGCACTGGCAATCCCTTTGTTGTTGCAAAGAGTGTACAACAGTAGCATGGCATTCAAATCAGGCTCACAGTAGCGACCTAAGCACTGAATAGAAACGACGCAGCATTGACCTCGTCTTCGTGCTATCAACACCGCCTCTACTCACGGCATCCAATCAAGAATAAAGAAAGGAATATTGGCTGAGGCCCTACTACTGAAGTGCTTTTATCATTTGGCCAAAATGTTTTTCTCCTTTTTGTCGAACTCCTTCACATCCGAGGTCTGTGACTCTCAAGAGTAGGTTTGATAAGTGTGTTGAGAAATGATTGATGTGACGTCCTCATTAAGTAGATGTCAGGAATGTCACCTAGGAGTGTTGGGCGACTGACCCATTGTCAAATGTCTGTCAATATAATTAATGTAAGACGGGATGATGTGACACCCAGATCTAGTTGATGAGGCCACATGGATATGATCCAATGGTGACCACGTCGGTCTAGTCACTATAAATAGCAGCCTTTGTAACATTTGATGGGGATGGATTTTCATACATAAAAAGGAGTATTGTAGTTTCTTCTCTATAAATATATGCTCTCTTTTAAGTTCTTTCCTTGGTATACATTTTCAATCTTGAGCATCTTGTTAATGTGTTTGAATATATTTATCTAGAAACCAATTACCCAATTGGGCTTCCGATCACAATCTTGTGGAATCTATTCACGTCCACATTATCTAGGAGTGACACCTGTTAGCACGTTTTTTGAGGTCAACAAGTAATATCAAATATTATATTTGTTAATATATTCGAGGTCAGTTGACTGTTACATTCTATACATTATAATGTAACATGATATGAGATATTCACATTCTAATTTTACTAATAGAGCTACCTGTTCAAAGATTTTATTATTTTGTTACAATGGCTTTCAAGGAACCATAATACATAACGTGCAAATTGAATTTTGCCAAAAAATATTCTATGTATAATTCAATTCGAGCTCACACTTTGAGTTGGTTCGAATTACGGCTCCCCCTCTGCTTTTTTGGAGCGACGGAGGGCTCATGGTCACCAGCTTGAGAGTGAGGAGCTCATGTGCTCGTGCTCTATACCCATAAGTCACGAGCTTACAATACTGTTCTCTGAGCTCTATTAAAAACTAGTTTTTCACCTACAGATAATTATCAACGGATTGTATCTGTATCTGTTGGTAATTGGAAAACGGATTATCTGATGGTAAAAGTATTAAACTTTTAACTACGAAAACCACAAACGACATTTTCATTGGCAAAAGTGGTAGCTCTACACCAACAAATATTCCGCACCTAATGTTATTGTTTAACATACGTATAATTTACCACCAGCATTTCCATAGGTGACGTAATTCAATTTTTTTCCTTCTAAAAACAGTATCAACCTTACTCATATGGATTTTCCATGAATAAAGAGTAGTTCATATTACTAACGAAATTGTTGTTGCTAATATTAATCAATTTCAAAGGAGTTCTTATCCCACATCAAATGTTCACAACAAAGTATTTGAAGTTGCCATCTATAAATTTGTGGTTCAATAAGTGATTAAACAATTTGTTGGGCCTTTCAACTCATTAGCTAAAAGTTAAAAAATTATAATTATTAAAGAAATAATAATAAAAATAATAGAAAATAAATAAATAATTTTTTAAACATGCCTCACACCTTTGTTGCTATTTACAATACTGATTTTTACCAATTGTAATGGTAGACATTTACCAACAGAAAGTCGGTTGGTAATGGTTAAGATTTTTACCAACGAAAAATTCATTGACAAAATGATTATTCTTTACCTACAGCGCGATCCATTGGTAACTATCAGCGACTCCCTAATTAACTATTGATTTGTCACTGCTAATATTTTGTTGGTAAAGAGTAATAGCAACAGATACTGTGTTTTAGAGATGGAAAATCCATGTTTGAATAATATTTTTTTTTTTTTGTTTTTTTTTTGGCGTAGTGTTTGAATATCGAAAATTTTGAAGTATGACTACAGAGGCTGGGATTCTAAAGTTTGAGATATAATTTTAGTATTGTGATGATTTGAAGTGGTTATTTTTATTTTTTTATTTTTTTAAACAAGGAATTTTTTTTTTTTTTTTAAAGATGAATCGTAAAATTAGAATTTGGAAGATAATTAATTTCCACTAATTATTATAAATTTCAAGCTGGTGGTGTTAATTTAGACTAACCCGATATTAATATCCATGAGATCGTTCGTAATTGGGTCGGTTTTACCCCTCCAATTAGATCTAACCCATTTATCTAATCAAAATATTAATAATAATTCAATAAACTCTTTGCTGGGGGCATGTTTTTAATAAAGATTGGAGGTCCTAGCTAGCTGCCAGATTTGACTCAACGAGTACATGTGTAAACTTATAATATTTCAAAAGAATTAATTAGACAACATGATACCTATAGAATTAGGGTCAACCAATATATCATATCATATCTTCTCAAATTTTCTGTCAAAAGAGTCAGCTTGGGACTGTCATATCCCTAGGGGTAAGATATGCTCCGCACGTAATACTAATTGATAATATTGTACAAAATGGGACAAGATTTTTAAGTTTTTCTCCTTTAACTTTATATGGTTCGACTCATTAAACATGCCATTATTGTCAAGGAAAGAAGACAAATATGAGACATGTAATTCAATTCAAACACGCTCACTTTCTCTCCATTATATAAAATTTCAGTAGTCAGATCAACTATGAAGATTTAGGACTCGTCTAATCTCACTTCTCGACAAAAAAATTGATTTCTTGTGAGCCACTCAATTAATTAAGTGAACTTTGTTGACTCGTAGCTCAAGACACTAAGTATAATTTTCCTCCAAATTCATCGACCATTAATTGGTCAAAATGCCATTTTGCCCTGGAATCACGTTGAACTGGGAACATATCTTCAGAGCACAAAGCACAAGGATATAATTGATAATGACGATCACGAGAAGGATTGGCTGTTAGTGTCTAGCAATGTTCTGAATCTCAGACAACATTTTTAAATTCAAATTCTCACTTGAAAGCTATCAAAATGTTATACTAATCTCGACCAAACATGGGCTTAACAAGTTTGAGGCAAAATTTCACACTCTACTTTGGTCTGGCCACAATATTAACAAACTAAGATTAGTAGCAATAAATTTAAGTTGCAACTATAGGAATTACTTTTGTTACATGAAAAGACACTCAACGAAATATGTACTAAAATTCATAACCTATGTTGGCTGCCAAGTTTGATTGTGAAACAAAATGTCAATATATTTTATTTGTCTAACTTGGTAGATAGACCGATGTTGAAGAATTATCACTTTGTTAGGTATAATTGAAATTAAAAGGATTGTTTGTTTTGCATTATACAGGAAAAATCAACACTTCCCAGAATGTCTCCTCAACAATTTGCATTTTGAGAGATACATTTATTTCATTTTCAGCTTCACTCATTTATATCTTTCATATTTTTTCCTTTTAAATATTCTAATGCTTTAAAATTTAAAAAAGTTGACTAAAACTAATACACTATCGCAGTTGCTTTTACTTTTCTTTAGATTTTGTAATGAATAATACATAGAGACAGAAACGGATTATGTTACTTACTCTAAATTTATCTCGAATAAATAGTTTTTATATCTTATTATCAGAAATAATTTCAAATTAGTAGAATGCTGCCAATTATTTATATTGGTTTAATTGTCATGATTACGTGAGTTTGAACACAATCATAATGGCAGTAAAAGTTTTATACTATATCTCAAAAATTGCAAGAAAGGAAGCAAAAGAAGAAGAATAAAGTGTAAAGGAAAGACAAGTGTAGACTACAAAATAAAGATAGATAAAAGTATTATTCCTTTATGTATAGTAGCTTCCAAATTGCCAAATGTTAGCACAAAGTTCGTATCCAGCAGCAAATGCATTAGCAGTTGAAAATATTGAACCACATTACCTAGAAAAAAGAGAGAGAGATGGTAGGATTAATTTATTTATGTAAATAGATTCAACGTGTCGAAATCATTTTTACTTCAAAGTCGTTTCATATATGTGAAATTTTGTAAATGGACAATGATAAGGCTCAAATTCAAGACGTTTTTAATATCATATTAAATCAATTCATATCAAAATTCAAGGAAAGAATTAAACACGAGAAATCTGACTTATTTCTTTAATTTTTCGGCAAAAGGACTTCTCTGGTTCCTTTTCAAAACCTAAATATGGCTGATACTTTTGTTACCCTTTTTACCCATTTTTAGTTAGGTTCTTTATTTATTCTGCAAGACAAGTTCCATAAAACTATTATATTTCAATGTGAAAAGGTGAATTAGAAATCTGTCTATTAATGAGTTAATGTATTTATCATGGTATTAGTTTATTGTCCGTGTTGTTGGATGAAGTTGAACACAGTCATAATGCCACTAATATCATTTAAAAACAATAGTATGCATGTCACTGAATGCATAATTTGGTTTTTTTTCTATAGGTGGTATATGATACTATACAGCACTTCTAATAAGCTATATTGCCATTTTGCAGACCTCACAGAATTACAGTGTATGGGATACATGCTGGTTTGACGGGATCAACAGAAAAAAGACTCGATACGATGTGAGATTTGGAACCTCGACCAAAAAACAAGGAAGAAAAGAAAAAAGAAAAAGGGAAAAAGATAGGCTACGGCTAGTGTCTAAGTAATAAGAGAAGTACAGGCCAGGATGCCTGGTTTTTCACGCCAGTAAGTTTTGTGGGTTCAAATAAGAGTCAGGAGAGTAAGGCTAACCTTAATTAGGAGGACCTTGATGAGCACGCAGTGTAGGAGATTGACCACTCTTCGAGTCAGTCCAGTTTCTGCCCACTGTCTAGACTGCATTTTGTGAGTTTGAACACCATCCCATTTTAACCAAAAATACAACCCTATCAAAGATATCTAACCTTCCTTTCTATATATGGTTCCAAAAGAAAACTTGAAGAGTCGGCCCACTGACACACTGTTAATTAAATATGTTTGGTAAGGGGACTACATGGAAGTATTAAAGAATAAAAAGAAACTAAAATCTTGCCAATTGTATTGTTTAATCAATAACAATACTATTTACCAATTATGCCATGAATATCAAATTTGTATTTTCTTGAATCTACTTAGAGAATGGGACCAATTTGCCAATGAAATCAGCTGCTTTCTTGATTCCCCAAGAAATGTGGTATATTTTAAATTAAATATATCTATCATATGGGACATATATTTAGAGTCAGTTTGGGGAACAAAAAAAAATCAGATGGTCCATGTATCTCTAAGCTCCACAAATGCTACCAAGTCTGAAAGATGCTATTGTTAATCACCGACGATTTGAAATACACAACCACCAAACAAATAATTGGAATTTTCATCAAGAAATAATATTAATAAAAGTAATCTCAAGGGTCATAGAATTTAGAAATTTAATTGAAGGTCCGGTAGACATAAACATGAACTGTAAGTGCTTCCAGCATTAAAAGCTACATTAATTTAATAAAATCAATAATGTTAGGGAAATTAGGAGGATGAAAAACAAGCAAACATATTTCAACTATGCCTTTGTTTTAAAAGGCAAATCATATCAATTGACACGACTCAAACAAACAACCGAAAGTTCAAGACTTAAGTTCACTGAAATTTACCGATCTTCCAACCATACCTTGATCGAAAGGGTAGATCATAAGATCATAAATTCTGAAATCTTTAATAACTCCAATCGAGACTTTAAATCTATTGAATATGAGCTTTTGAGAATTTGATGCAGTTCACTTCTGTATTCTTCTCAAGTACTTATAACTAGGGGGGCAAATGGAGTATATCCCTTTAAGGGTTTGTGGTGGGTGTATAAGAGGCAGGTCCACTGCAATTAGGGTTACTCCAATACCTTTTTGATTTAATTTACAATTTAAGACAGAGTTTGGCATTAAATTGAAATAATTAGTTGATGTGGGACCTCTGAGCTTTTGAGAATTTGATGCAGTTCACTTCTGTATTCTTCTCAAGTACTTATAACTAGGGGGGCAAATGGAGTATATCCCTTTAAGGGTTTGTGGTGGGTGTATAAGAGGCAGGTCCACTGCAATTAGGGTTACTCCAATACCTTTTTGATTTAATTTACAATTTAAGACAGAGTTTGGCATTAAATTGAAATAATTAGTTGATGTGGGACCTCTTCATTTGCGACATTAAAAATGGACCACTATCAATCACTATGCCGACGGTTGTCACAATGTTAGCCTTTAATCCATCAAAAATGATGTCTCAACAGATATTATATGTAGACTTTGGTTTTGTACTGAGAAAAAAATCAAATTGAGTCCCTACTTGCTTTTATCTATGTCGTCGTAATCCCATTCGAAATGCTGCACATACATTTATGTTTAGAATGACAACACATGAATAGGAAAAAAGCTATTTAGTTTTGTTGATGCAATTAAGAAATGAGAGACAAGATGTAAAGAATTTGTTGATTTACAGGAAAAAAGTTTGAAGAATTGGAATGGAAAAATCTTACGTTTATTATCAAATATCCTCTGGGTTTTCCAAAAACCAAGATTTACTAGCATTAATTTTTTTTTTGGAAAAAAAAAAAGAAAAAGAAAAAAAAAGAGGTCACTTGATGAGCTACATTAAATAAAACTATATTTGTGAAAAATCTACCTATCAAATGCAATCTTTAAACTTTTACGGGCATGTATAATACTCTAGATTGGATTGAGCTAAAAGACGTTAGAGGGAGACAAAAAAATGCTTAGTCATAAATCACATCATGAACCCATATTATTTAACTTTTGAAAGTAATTTTGTATTCGAATAGGGGTGCTTTGCTTGAGTATTAAGGTACTTAATTAGGTTTTTTTTCCCCATCTATCAATGATCCTAAAAATGTATACAAACATGAAACTTAATTATATACTAAGACAAATCTAATTATTAATATCAAATTGGACCAAAGGGACCCGTTGGGTTTAGGTTTCGTCGGTCAATTAAGATTGAGAAAGATATATAATACAAAAACTCTAAATAGCGTAGGTTGCGGAGATTTTGCTTAATTTCAACTTTTCTTCATGTTTACACAGGATCAATTCCTGCCATAGAACATGCATATATAATAGCCACATGTGAGATATTGTTATATTAAGTTTTGTAGAAAAAGTGCTTAATTTCAACTTTTCAACTGTTGTCTTTGGTCTTAAAGTTCATCCATCCATCAAGTACTAGTCAACATATCTCTAATTATAAAACATTTCGTCTCTCGATTGATATTGATAGAAGTAATTTATAAGAACTTACAACAATGGCATGAATAAGTGAAAATCTCTCAATTTAACAATAAACTTATGAAAAGTGAGATTAAAATGTTCTAACATACCATCTCTGAATTTAACATATAACAAATATCATCTAATTTAACTCTATCCAAGTGGCTTTTTGCAAACTAATAGAGAAGCCTATGTAATTTGTGCTCATGGCTTGCCCATAACTTATGATTCAGAACTTCGAATTATGATCCCTTTTTCAAAAAAATTTCTGTTGAACTCCAAATTTGAATAATATCATTTGTCCCACGAAGATCTTTGTACTAAATTTTGTGCTATAATTTCTTCACATACTCCACACATAGATTACTCATTCTGCATCTTTGATTTTCGGTTGTTTGATACATTACTTTAACTCTTGATTATTACTTCCAACCATCTTATTTCATCCGAATTTCCTTAAAAATTTTGTCTCTTCTACTTTAGTCCTACAATTTTTGATTTCTTTCATTTTGGTACATAATCTTCAAGTATAGTCTCCGAAATTTATGAAATCTTCCAACTAGGTATTCAAGTTCGTCCGATTGAGACTCGTGACTTCCCGGCCTTCATTATAATTCTCTTAATTAATCAATTTAAATTAATTTAGAACCCAAAATAAGCATGTAAAATATACTTATAAACTTAACTTTTGCTACTTTTGAACAAAATCGTGAACCCAAAATAAGCATGTAAATTAATCACGTAGGCTGCGGGTGGAGCTTAGAACACCTGCTCAACATACTGATGAAGTTCAAACTGAAAATGAGGATGTTTCTAAAGCTGAAATAGAGGAAGAAGTGCATGTTCAGGAAGTGGGTGAGGAAAAAAATCCCTTAGAAGACTATCAATTAGCTAGGGACAGAGTTAGAAGAGATACAAGGAAACCTCTTAGGATTAGATACTATCTATCTCTTGACTTATTGTCATTTCAAGATCTGGCCTTTAAAGAACCTAAAACATATGGAGAGGTTGTGAGTTGTCAGCTGTCAAAAGAGTGGCAATTAGCTATGGAAGAAGAAATGAACTCTTTGTCGAAAAATGATACTTTGACTTTGGTTCCTAAGCCTAAAGATAAATCCATAGTTGACTGTAAGTGGATTTATAACATAAAAGAGGGAAATAATTTGAAACAGCCTATTAGATTAAAGCCAGATTAGTGGCAAAGGGATTTACACAAAAACATGGGGATTGATTATAATGAGATCTTTTTACCGGTGGTTAAGTAAACAACCATTAGAGTCATGCTTCCTTTAGTAGCACATTTTGACTTAGAACTTGAAGAAATGGATGTAAAAACTGTTTTTTTGCATGGAGACTTGGATGAAACCATTTACATGTGTCAGCCACAAGTTTTATTGATCCTAAGAAATTTGAATATGTGTCCCTATTAAAATGGTCTTTGTATGGGCTTAAATAATCACCAAGACAATGGTATAAATGCTTTGATAACTTTGTGTCATCAATTGGTTTTCTTAGAAGCTCATTTGATCATGGTTTGTACTTTAAAAAGAATGAAAACGAATCTATGATTGTTTACCTGCTTCTGTATGCGGATGATATGCTACTTAGAGGCCAACATATAAGTGATATTAATGACATTAAAAGATCTTTATGTTCTGAATTTGAAAAGAAAGACTTGGGCCATGCTAGAAGAATTTTAGGTATGGATATTAAGAGAAATAGATCCTAACAGGTTCTTTTCTTTCTCAATTTACCTATGTGGAAAAAGTGTTATCTAAATTTGCTATACATGAATCAAAGTCTGTCACTTTACCACTTACAAGTCATTTTAAATTGAGTAAAGATCAGTCTCCTATTGATGAATCTGATGTGAAATGTATGCAAAAAGTCCCTTATGCTAATGTTGTGGGGTCTGTTATGTACACTAAAGTATGTATTAGACTTGATGTTGCTCATGCTATCAGTACCTTAAGTAGATTTATGGCTAATCCCGGTCCTGAATGTTGGACTGCCTTAAAATGGTTGCTTAGATCCTTAAAGGGGTCCTCTAACTTGGGTTTATGTTTTAATCCTTGTAAAGAAGGTATTGTGTTAAAGGGATTTGTTGATTCTAATTATGCGGGGGGTAGGGACAATAAAAAATCAACTACATCATATATGTTTACTTTGTGTGACACTTTTGTGAGTTGGAAATCACAATTACAACCTATTGTTGATTCTGATTATGTGGGGATAGGGACAATATGATGTGATCTAAGAATCAAGCTTGAAGACGGCGAATTCGAGTCGAGACCCATTGATTATTGAAGGCGGATCGATGATGTGATCGAGAGCAAAGCAAGTGAAACAAATGATGGGATTGTTTGTTCAAGAAACCATTGATGGGACGATGTACGAGATTCAAAATGGGACAAGTTTCGTGTTCGGGTCAAAAGTCGAATCAAAGTGGATCAACTCAATACAAGTGGCGAAGACGGAGGCCAAAGTCACAACCATACAGCCGCATGATTTTAAAGTGGTACGGCCGCACAGACCCATGCAAGGTTTCCTCGAGAGGCGATAGTTTCTTCCATACAACCGCATAGAAATGTACCATGCGGTCGCATGGTACAAAATTCCAGCAGAATTTTTCTTTTTCGTGAATTTCATTATTTTATTAGAATTTGATATCAATTAGACTTCTTTCCATATTTTGATGATTTTGCACGATTTTAGCTAGGTTTTTAGCTTTAATATAAATACTCTCTCCATTACATTTTAAACAACTTTTGACAATTATTATTAAATTGAAGAGAGGCTTTTACTTTTTTCCAATTTGTTCTTCTTTGAACAATAATTTAGAACTTATCAAGGATAATTCCTTGTGGCGTTCAACACCGGATCATGGGTTCTTCAATTTATAAGCAAGGGGTTCATTGCATCACCGTTATCTTTGGGTTTTTTCATTTTGTTGGGTTCAAATCCAAACTAGTTATGAATTGGCATTCTTGGGTTCCGCATCAATCTACTTGTGGGTTTCATAGTCTAAGTTGCTACGGGGTTCATATCAGTTGGTATCGGAGCTTAGGTTCCAATTTAATCAGGTTCTATCTTTAATTTTCTTGTTTGTATTATAGTTTTCTTGATTTCCAAGTTTCTTCCTTGTTCTTGAGTCATTTTTCAATTCATTCCTTCAATCTGTATATTTTCGTTAATAGTATAATCTCTTGTATTAAAAAAAAGTTACTGTTCATCCAAATATTAAAAAAAAGTTACTGTTCACGTCAAAAAAAATTTATTAATTGCTTGATTTGCTACCAACAGTTCACATTCAAATTCCTAAAGTCAAAAGTTCTTATTTTTTTCTTCAATTCTTCAATTTCGACAATTGATCCGCTGAAATTTAGTGAGTCCATTCAAATTTCATTCTATTTGTTTCCAAATCCCTTGAAAATTATCCTCTTGACTTACGTTTCGGGTTGAATCCGCAAG